TTTTTTTTTTTTTTTTTTTTTTTTTAGCATTGTGCGTAAGCAACCTCAGGGTTGGACATATTTGTGTCTAAAGTGCCTCTGAGACGTTCATTTAACATGTTTTCTGAGCACCTACCCTATGCCAGGCATAGTGGGTGGACATAAATCGTTGAACGACGGATACAGATCCCTATCCTCTCGGCGCTTACAATCTGGGAAGTCAGCTTGAAATTCTGGGTTGTAGGTGCAGGTTCTTAGTAATTTCCGTGAGCGGTCGGTAGTTGGAGCCGTGAGGAAAGGTGAGGCCGCTGAGGAAGGGAAGAGCCTTGCAGGAGGCCCCGCGTGTTAGACCTGGGCAGAGGCGGAGGAAACCGGAGGCTCAGGAGAGGAGCCCGCTGCCCCGGGAGAGCAGGAAACCTGGGCAGAGGCGGAGGAAACCGGGAGACTCAGGACAGGAGCCCGCTGCCCGGGGAGAGCAGGAAACCTGGGCAGAGGCGGAGGAAACCGGGAGACTCAGGACAGGAGCCCGCTGCCCGGGGAGAGCAGGAAACCTGGGCAGAGGCGGAGGAAACCGGGAGACTCAGGACAGGAGCCCGCTGCCCGGGGAGAGCAGGAAACCTGGGCAGAGGCGGAGGAAACCGGGAGACTCAGGACAGGAGCCCGCTGCCCGGGGAGAGCAGGAAACCTGGGCAGAGGCGGAGGAAACCGGGAGACTCAGGACAGGAGCCCGCTGCCCGGGGAGAGCAGGAAACCTGGGCAGAGGCGGAGGAAACCGGGAGACTCAGGACAGGAGCCCGCTGCCCGGGGAGAGCAGGAAACCTGGGCAGAGGCGGAGGAAACCGGGAGACTCAGGACAGGAGCCCGCTGCCCGGGGAGAGCAGGAAACCCGGAGAGCCCCGCGGCTCGTGATTCATTCGTGGCCGAATAACTGAGCGAGATCAGGGTAGAGAAATGCTTTATTCACAGGTGTCAGGAAGCTCATGGTATGTCAGTGGTATGCGCTGTGTTTGAGTGTGGGTGCCAGTGTTGTCGTTACCAGTTGTGCGACCACGGGCGAGCTGTTCAACCCCGTTCCTCGTCTATAAAATGTGGACGCGGACGGCACCCTCGTCGTAGGGTTATCGGGTGAAGGGGCTCGTCGCAGTGATGACTGTGAAGCCGGTTGGCCCGGTTCCTGGCACTTAGGAACATTCAGGAAAGAGGCTGAGAGAACAAGACCCACCTGATTAGAAACAGGACTTGACTCTGCTCTTCCTACATCAGTGTCCTTTCTCTTAGACTAGGTTGCAAGGTACACGCTCAGATAATATACTCTTTGTGACCCGTACCAGAGTGAATTCTTCAGTTGATCACTGATCTGGTATTTTTTATTGTTACTTAGCACTAATTAGGAACCCACTTAATATCATACCAGGTGAATATGGCTTGCTTAATGTCAGTTGTTAAAGACTATCCCCATACCCCCCAACACACACACTTGGGATGAATTTAACACCAACACCACCCTTGCTTTCATATCTAGAACTTGGCGTGCCATATTTTTTATTTTAATTTGTAACTAAATCAGTTTTTTTATCTCTTAAATTTGTTGTTTGTTGTGCTGCTGAGGGATATCGTGTGATTTATCCTACATTAGTTAATTGTATTTGACACTTGAAAACTTTTTAATTTGATACAGAGGGAGAAAACTTTAATGGTGTACTTTTCATGCTGATAAGCAGTATTTGGAAAAATCTACAGTTTGACTATTTTAAGGAATAAAGAAGACATTGAAAGTAATTGATGAGAGGGCATATATGAAACTTCATTTGGAAAGACTCCATCGAATGAAAATGTAGCCATCATGGTGCTTTAATAACCACTTAAGTGCCGTTATCTTTGGACCCAGCATCAATCTGGGAATTTTTGCTTTTGAATCTTTACATAATTTACACACAAAGTGATTCAGTAGAAAATTTCCTTTTAAAAATATATTTAGCTTTACAAGACATTATGGACTTCTTGATGTAATGAAGCAGGATGCACACAGCACCATTTTTAAAGATTCTTACGTAAAAATTGAACCTGCATCTAATCACATCTCTAGATCTAACCACCAGTCAAGGGTAAGGGGAGGAGATAGAAGATTGAGGTAAATGACATCATGAGGAAGCAATCCAAGGACATTCCATAGACACAGTGAGGCAGGATAGTAAAAGGCTAGGGAAATTCCTTCACAAGTGGAATAAGGGAAACAGACAAAATAATTAAACAGGGCCAAACAATTTGAGCAATTTACAGCCAGCTAATGAATCACAAGTTTTTATCTTCCCTAACCAAGCACACTTAGGAACAAATGGCTTACCCATCCTAGACTGTCCTGGGGTATACCGGCCTCAGTCCTGGTCCCTCTTCAGTGATGTTCTTTAAAGATAGTACTAACCAAAAAATAACCCTGACCCTTCTGTACACACATTTTGATGAATCAACGTATTGAAGGACACATCTGGAAAGCTAATGAATATTCTGTTAAGACCCTCCCCTAGAATTTCCATCAGCCAAAGAAAAGATAAAAAAGCATCCAGACAAAGGACTCACGGCATGCTCTCTGCTAGAGCATGCCCACACCTTGTATCTCTGCTCTCTTCTAAACTCTAAGGGTCCCACAAGACTTGCAACCAAGGGAGCAGTGGGCAGAGGCATCTCATCCTGGACTTACCCCCTGCACCTGTTTCCAAGACCCCCTTTTTCTCTGACTTTCCAGTGAGCTAATAGCAGCCCTGCCTTGGCTCACTTCTGTCACTGTAACTGTTACTTCTCAGCGAGTTCATGTAGCCCAGCGTGGCCCACTTCTTTCCTATAACATTCTTAGAGCCAAAGCAGCCCCACCTAGGCTCTATTGCTTCTTCTACCTTAAGCCCTTCCTTTGTTTCACTGCCCCTAGCTTTAATAAACATACTCTCAAAATCACCTGGACTTGTATTGTGAAATCTTTCCTGCACAGTCAAGAACCCACACACTACAGCTTGAGGCAGACTTGCCCTGGGCCCAATCCCCATCCAGTAACAAAAGGAATGAAGAAAACGTTTCTTCAACAGTCAGCGTCATGGCACTGGCTGAGTAGCTCAGCTGATTAGAGCGGTGTCCCAATACACCAAGGTTGTGGGCTTAGTCCCCAGTCAGGGCCCATACAAGAATCAATCTACGAGTGCATAAATAAGTGGAACAACAAATAGATGTTTCTCTCTCTCATTCCCTCCCTTCCTCTTTCTAAAATCAATAAATAAAATTAAAAACAATGTCATGAAATAAAAAAGGAGGGGAGCCTCAAAATGTATGTGGACCTTGAATTTTGGTTCTAATGAACTAAGTGTAAAAAAATCTTTGAGACAATCAGGGAATTTGAATATGCACTGGGTATTAGGTAATGTTAAGGAATTACCAGTACTATTAACTCTGATAGGTTAATGGCATAGCATTTATGTTTAAAACAGTCTATTATCAGAGATGCATAATTGAGAGATTTTTAGGTGAAATTTGATAATGTCTGGGATTTATTTTAAGGGAAAGCTGGGGAAGGCAATCTTAGCTGGGCAACATTGTGTTTATAATGTTGAATGGATATTGAGGGAAACTAGCCATTAATGTCACAACCAGTGAGATTATAAATATAGGGTGTCCAAAAAAATGTTTACACACACTTTGAATAATTATAAAGGCAGTGTTTATTAAAATACATTTTATTTTCAAAATTGAGCTATCAGCTGTTAAAAGTGTGTATACATGTTTTGGGGATACCCTGTATATACATTTATAAAACATAAGGAAGCAAGTAGGATGCATACCCATGTTCTTCATTCTGTTTTGCAGAATGTCACTAACATCAGATGTTTAGGTCTTAATTAGGAGCAGAATTTCCTCCTCTAGTAAAGGATACCTACTGGAGAGTTGGGCATCACTGTATGGCTATAGATGTAAAAACCTTGTTTGGGGAAGATTGTAGGGAAATAGTGGAAAGAGTGAGGACATGTTAGATCTGGGATGAGATTTGCATTTTAGTCCTAACTCCTCTGCTTACCTGCTGTGTGACCTTGGATACAAACTGTCTCTCAACTTCCTCTGTAAAATGAGGATAGTAACATATTTACCTATATAACTCTGTTATAAGGAATAAGTAATGGAATCTTAGGTCTATATAGGATACTTAGGTAACACATAGGAAACAGAAAAATATGAAGAAACTCAAGGATCCTGCAAATTTAAAGCTAGGAGTGGAGTCATGTATAAATGAAATTACCCAGTGATACAAGGCAAGGGATTATTAAGTGCCAAGTGTAATAGATTTACTGATGGTTGTCAGATGTATAAGTGTGCTACTGTATAAAATCTTTACATTTAAAAGTTATACTAGCAGTTAAATATGTTGTAAAAAAGATATGATCAATATAATTGTTTTTCTTTGGGTTTCTTGGTGTTATTATTAATA